TTTTTCAGATTTACATTGTAAGCTTTTTTTATCAAAACATACGGTAGTTAGGAAGTTGTTGTTGTTATTTTTTTTCATTTCTCTTGTCCACCAGGCATTGACACGAAAGTGTGAATTCACAATTAAAGTAAGAAGTGGGTCGCAGCAAGGAGCAGTGGTGCAGGCAGGGAATCAGGAATACAAATACAATTTACATTTTATGTAGCGTAGTGACGTTAGCAGCGATGGTAGCAGCATGTAGTAGCAGTAGCAGCATTTTTAGGGGCAGCTTGTGTAGTAAAGGAAAAATCGATTTTTGGTTTGTTGTTTTTGTTATTGCCAACTTCCCCAAAACATTAACAACAACCATAGCAAAAAAAAACAACAAACAATCCCTATTATGCTTTCATCAGGGATGAGCAAAGAAAATGATAGAAAATGTACTTTAGAGAGAAGAACTTTGACTAACTAACTAACTAACTAACTAACTAACTAACTAACTAACTAACTAACTAACTAACTAACTAACTAACTAACTAACTAACTAACTAACTAACTAACTAACTAACTAACTAACTAACTAACTAACTAACTAACTAACTAACTAACTACTAACTAACTAACTAACTACTAACTAACTAACTAACTAACTACTAACTAACTAACTACTAACTAACTAACTAACTAACTAACTAACTAACTAACTAACTAACTAACTAACTACTAACTAACTACTAACTAACTAACTAACTAACTAACTAACTAACTAACTAACTAACTACTAACTAACTAACTAACTAACTAACTCACTAACTAACTAACTAACTAACTAACTACTAACTAACTAACTAACTAACTAACTAACTAACTAACTAACTACTAACTAACTAACTAACTACTAACTAACTAACTAACTAACTAACTAACTAACTAACTAACTAACTAACTAACTAACTAACTACTACTAACTAACTAACTAACTAACTAACTAACTACTACTAACTAACTAAACTAACTACTAACTAACTAACTAACTAACTAACTAACACTAACTACTAACTAACTAACTAACTAACTAACTAACTAACTAACTACTAACTAACTAAACTAACTAACTAACTAACTAACTAACTAACTAACTAACTAACTAACTAACTAACTAACTAACTACTAACTAACTAACTACTAACTACTAACTAACTAACTAACTAACTAACTAACTAACTAACTAACTAACTCCTAACTACTAACTAACTAACTAACTAACTAACTACTAACTAACTAACTAACTAACTAACTAACTAACTAACTAACTAACTAACTAACTAACTACTAACTAACTAACTAACTAACTACTAACTAACTAACTAACTAACTAACTAACTAACTAACTAACTAACTAACTAACTAACTAACTAACTGAACTCCTTAGTATTTGCTCTGATGTTCCGCTTCACCATGATATTCTACCAGGAATCAGAGCCTCAAAGTTCCCTATTAATTCATGGTCTGGTATACAATCGGTCATGTCCGCTTTTTAGCCATTTAATGTATCCATTACTATGTATGAAGTAAAAGTAGATGTCGCTCCAATTTTGGGCAAAATAAACGAAGACTCACAAAAAATCTATAAGTCCAGTAATGTGCAAAAGAATTTCATAATTCTTCCCTTAAAGTACCAAAAAGAAAGTACTCTCATGTACATCTCCGGCTCTCGTGCTCAATATAGAAAAAAGGAAGTCAGTCAGCAGAGAAATAGTAAAACGATGGGTGGAGGAGGAGGAGTAGTAGGAAGGCCGAAGAAAAGAGTACATCCCTACATACACACTTTTATATACATACAAATTTCGCTAGAAAAATTGTGCGCGCCCTTTAAATAGAGAAATATTAACAAAATTTCTTACTTTTTTTTGTGGTTTTATATGAACAAAAACAACAAAAAAAAGGCCGTTAACATAAAATGAACTATGACGTTAACTAAAGGATAATGATTAATTTTAATGAATGAAAAGCAGAAAAGAAAGAAAAAACTTAAACTTACCCACCTTTTTCTGACGGCAATGTTTAAATTATTTGCTAAATTCAAGGAAGGCAGCACAAGGAAAACAATCTACAAATCCAATTTGCAATTGTGCTTTTTTTTTTTTGAACACTAAGCAGTTTTAAACAATTTGTTTACACTTGTCAATCAGCAATTTAAGTTTTAGATATTTATTTCCTTTTAACACATATTCCTTATACTTTATTTTTTTTTACATTATTTATAACTTAGCTTCGTTTTTTTGCAACTTCAATTTTCCAACCAAACTTCGATTTCTCTGTGATTACACAATAAATACTAAATGGCAAAATATACAAAGTAGTAAATATAAATATATATAAGTAGCAACAACAGCTACTTACTTTAATTTACTTCTTTTATTTTTGTTATTAATTTTTATCTATTTGCTTTATTGCTCTATATATTTTTCATGGCAATTGATTTTAACTTCACACTTCTTCACTTTTTTCACTTTTGTTTTACTAAATTTATATTTTTTATTAAATTAACTAAAATGTTTCGTTATTTATATTATATTTTACAAGTTAAACCCCAAAAAAAAAAGAAAAACAATAAATTTATTTAATAATTTTTTCTTCTTATTTTACAAGGACCGTTTGTGTATGACTTCACCTAAACCGTATAAAACAACAACTGTGAATAAATAACTTTTTACTATTTTAAAAACGGTCGGTCGTCGGTCTTGCTGAGTAATTGAGTTGTGTTTTAGTTGTTCGTTTTTATTTTTGCTGCTTGTTGTTGTTATTATTTGACGACGAAAATAACGTTTGTATTTTTTTCGAGAGTGCGCGTTGCCAACTTAACTTCGCCTGCTACTAACTAAAGTACATTGGTTGTTGTTATTGTTTTTGTTTTCTTAACAGGCAAAAGCACAAATTCAGTAAAACAAAGTTAGTGAAAAGTTGTCTTTCTCTCTTTTATATAAAAAGCAACAACAAAAACGTGTGCTAAAGCAATAAAACTTTGCTTTTTCGAGTTATAAGCTTAATGAGTAATAACATGACAGTGGGACAAAGGTACACCTGTTTCTTAAAACTTAAATTTTTAATAAAAATTAAATTTTTTATAAAAAAGTTAAGTTTTTTGAAAAATAAATAATAAATAAACAAAATTTTAGTAAAAACAAGTAAGAATATATAGTCGGACATGGCCGGCCATATGATACCCTACAGCAGCGACTATGTTACAAAGTAGGTTTATATGGGGCAGGCGGTTAAGTGGGACTATCCTTATAAATTTTGGTAGCGGTATTTAATTAAGTCTACATTAAAGTTATTTATGCAATATATCATCGTGATATTAGTATTTTTAAGTGAATTTTGACCATCAAGTCAATTTCTGAAGGGGACTTTATTTGGGGATATCAGCAGTATCATTAGGATTTATATAAACTAAGTTTGGCAGATTTTTGGAGTGATATAAAAACCTTTAACATATTTATGAGCTCAAAAGCCCTATTCGGGGGGTACGGCTGTATGGGGGCTAGGTGAATAATAAACCGATTTTAACCATTTTCAATATTCGTCCTTGGTCAAAAGAAGAGTATGTACCATATTTCATCAAATTATCTTGAAAATTGCGACCTGTAGCGTACGCACATGGTTTACATTGACACACAGATGGACAGGCAGACATAGGTAAATCGATTTAGAAAGTGATTCTGAGCTGAATGGGTGTAGGACCAATATTTTTGGGTGCTACAAATGCATAATACCCTGCCCACTAAAAAGTGTTTAGTGAAAATTCGGAATTTGTGTGAAAAATGTGAAGTGAAAATCAGATTTTAGTAAAAAATCGTATTTTAAGTGAAAACCCATATTTTTTGTAAAAAAAAAAACTTTAAATAAAACTTTAGTTTTAAAAAATTTTTAATAAAAGAATAATTTTTTTGTAAAAAATAAATAAAATATTTTGAGAAAAATCTTAATTTCAGTAAAAACTCCGACTTTAATAAAAAATGTTAAATGAAAATCCGGAATTTGTGTAAAAAAAATTAAATTTTTAGTCAAAAATGGTATTTTTAGTGAAAACCCGGATTTTTAATAAAAAAAAACTTTAAAACACAAATTAAACACAATTTTAAAAAAATTAAAATTTTTAATAAAAAAATAATTTTTTATAGATTTTTTTTGGAAAAAATAAATAGAATTTTTTGGGAAAAATCTGTATTTTAGTAGAAAATATAATTATTTTTAGAAAAACCGAATTTATGTGAAAAATTCAACTTTTAGTAAGACTGTTTAGTGAAAATACGGAATTAATTTGAAAAATACATATTTTAATGAAAATCAGATTTTAGTGAAAAATCAGATTTTAGTAAAAAATCGCATTTTTAGTGAAAACACAGATTTTTAGTAAAAAAAAACATAAAACAAAATTTTAGACAAAATTCCGATTTTTTTGGATTTTGGATTTTTTAGGAAAAAATTGAAATTGACATAAAGCCAGATTTTTAGTGAACTTTCTGCAAGAACCGATTTTTAGAGAAAATTTTAATGTTCAGTCATAAATTTGGCGAATATTCACCACTATCTGCATTTCGATTACACGTTTCCCAATTCAGTTATGCAAGTAGGATTGGCTAAATTCTGCATTACGATCGTTTCTGCATCGCGATGCATCGTTTTTGTAAATTGTTATTACGCCAAACGAAAAAAAAGACTTTTTTATTAAAAATTAAAATTTTTGTTAAAAATTAAATTTTTATTAAAATTTCAAATTTTTATTAAAAATTCAAATTTTTGTGAAAAATCGAATTTGTGGTCAAACTTAAGACTTTTAGTGAAAAATTCCTTTTTTTGGTGAAAACCCGAATTTTTGGATTTATAGTGAAAAATAGGATTTTTGTTAAAGAACGGATTTCTAAAAATCCGTGTGTTTTTGGGAAAAATCAGATGTTTAGTAAAAAATTAGATATTTGGGAAAAAATTGATTTTTAGTAAAAAAAATAGATCTTTGGTAAAAATAGATTTTTTTTTTTGAAAAATAGAAATCAACCATAAAACTTTAAGTAAAATTTTACTGACTAGAAGATTTTTGGTTAAAATTAATATTTTTGATAAAAAAAAAGAGATTTTAGTGAAAATTTATTTTTTGGAAAAACTCTACTAATTTACTAAAATTATGATTATTTCCATATACATAGTTAATTCTGAGGTTGGAAAATGTCATTGGTCAAAGAACTAGTTCTAAATTCTTTCCATAGAATGAGTGTGCACTTTAAGACGCCACCTGGGGAACATTTTCTAAGGTAACACTGTATTCAATATAATGTTCATAACAACATTAATCAAATCAAATCAACATTAATTAGAATCGGTCTTAAAAAAACGAATTAGGCCTTCTACAAGGACCTCTGCAAATTACTTTTCGTTTTTATTTACATTTATTTTCTTTCCATACATTCCACTTTATCACCACTGTGCAAAAATCAAAGTTTAGCTAAAAAATACACACACTCACAAATGTTTTGTTCAGATTTCTCACACGCATGTGATACAATTTTTAATCACAAAACTCTCAATTTGTATCTAGAGTTGTAAACAAAGACCTTTTTACTACTAAACTTCACGCCATCAAATCATAATGATGTTAATTAAATTGGCATTGATAAAAATTAACAATTCTTATTGTTTATGTCGTTAATTTTACACGTTTTCTTTCAACTCTCATCTATTGAATATTTAAATTTCCCACTAAACTAAAATATAACTTACTTTCTTGTACGTTGAACAAATATTTAACACAGAATTGGAAATTAATAGAAAATACAAATAACAAAACAAAAACGTAAATTTAACACTTGAATGTTAATTTTGAAATGTTTATTTATTTAACGAGTTTTCTTAGCCGTACTTTTAAAGTAAAATGCAATTGTTATTAACCTACTCACAGAATTTTTCACGTTTTAATTGCGTTGCCAACCTTATAATAATAAAATATAAACAACAGAGTTGCATTTAAGGGAAGCCAGCAAAAACATTTCAAACTGACAACCGTTACTATAGCAACGTGTTGAAAAAAATGATAATTTAGCTTATAACAAAACTATTATCACTAGAAAACTAGCAAGCATGGAAAGTGATTCCAACAAAAAGGAGACCATACAAGATATTGCCTTTAAATTGGCTGAAGAGCAATTAAAACTGCTACAAGTGGAAAATGGTCCCAAGGAGCGCACAGTTTTTATTCTCGGCAGTAAGGGCGTAGGTAAAACCACCGCTATTAATACATTTTTTGATCGAGAAGATACCTCCAAACCCACTTTGGCTCTCGAATACTCATATGGTCGTAGAACTGGACATTTGCAAAAACAAGTGCTTAATATATGGGAATTGGGTTCTTTACATAATTCAGAACAATTGCTAAGAGTTCCCTTAAAAAGTCATGGCATAGTAAATTTCGCCGCAGTTATAATGTTGGATTTATCACAGCCTCGAAAGTTATGGTCAGATTTAGAGGCTGCTTATTTGGGTCTAAAGCAAGGCTGTCAGGAGATAGTGTCACATCAGTCACAAGAGTTAACTGATCTATTATATGAAAAAGCTAAAGAACGTGTTAAAAAAGATCATATGGATTTAAATACCCTAGAGCTAATGCCCTTTCCCATAGTTTTAGTGGGTGCAAAATATGATTTGTTTATGGGCTATGGTAAGTTTTGTAAGTTACTAATTAGTTACTTTAGCAAAAATCCTCTACATTTTCCAGAACCTGAACTTAAAAAACACATCTGCCGCTGCTTAAGATCTGTGGCACATCTTATAGGCGCTAGTTTGTTGTTTTATTCGAGTAAAATTCAGAAATTGGCCAAAACTTTGCGTGATACCATAAGCCATTTGGGTTTTGGCAGTCCTTCCAACCCTTTTCGTACCCATAATACCGATTATAATGATGCTTTATCGATATGGTTTGGCACAGATTCTTGGCAAAATATATCCTCGTTAGGAGCTCAAAATCTACAAAGTATTCAGACTAATTTGTCTACAGAGGTACCTCAACAACTGCAGCAGGCGAGAGATCAACCGGTTCTAAATGATCCAGCTAAAGATGCTGGTTTTCGTGAAAGTATTATAGATGAAATGCGTGCCCAAAAGGATAAAGAATTGGAGCGTCTCATTAAGGAGGCCCAACTAAGAAGCCAATTTCAAAGTGTGTCTAACTAGGGGAGGAATTATTTCTCTATAAGTTTTTTGTTATCAGAAGCCTAAAAGTTTATTAAATAAAATAATAAAGTAGATTAATTAATACTTTTTAATGTGACAGTTAAATAATATTTGCATGAAAACTTTGCTATGAAAAATTCAATTTCTGAGCTACTTAATTATCAGATAACGTTTATAAAAATTTGAGAACAAATAAATATTGATAGTTTGACAAAAGATTATTCGTTTATTGATATTGATTTTTTTTAATGAACATTTGTTCATCAAAATTTCTCTTTTTAATCAGAAAAGTGCATTTTTAAGACTTATACGCTAAAGTGCACTTTTTTAAATGACATTTTTTTGGGAAAAATTTCATGGCTAAAATTTATTGAGAACAAAAGTTAATTGTTTTACAGAAAGAATAATATATTTTTACAAAATGTTATTGTTTATCACTTTTTGGCGCTAAATTCAACTCATTTGCACTTTCAGAAATGCTAATTTTAGCAAAATTTCACTTTTTTCACAAATTTACACTTTTTGCATAAGAATACGAAATTGCCTTTTTCCCCAATATGTGTTTTTTTTAAATTACACTTTTTCCTTTAAAAATAGTTTTGAACATTCTGCTTTACTGTATATTTTCTTTATTTATTAATCTATTATTATTTAGTTATTGTTATAATCATTTTAATCATCGACAACATATCATTTTGGTAAGACTTTTATTTATTTATGTTTTTTGTGGTTTTTGTAAATAGTATATTTTCAATTAAGCCAGAAAAGGAGGGGCGAAATTCTTGGAAAAGATGATATTACAAGCATTAAAATTTCCGGGATTTTTCACATTAACATTTTTTACAATTGTTTGGAGAGATAAAATTGGATTTAATTATTCAAGGTATGTATGTACTAATGTTAAACCTACACAGTGTCATAATTGTTAAAATATACATGTATGTAAGTGTTTAAGTGTGTGTTATTATCGGCTTTTTTATTATTAAATCTAAACTATTAATTTAAAAATTATCGTATCGTAGTGTTTTCTTTATGTAATAATAGTTTCAGTAGTTAATCATTACAACTATTAAAAGTAATATAAAAGCAAATTTGATTTACACAACAAATGAGCTGCAAAAATTATGGACAAAATTTAGACTTTTTCTAAAATATTTAAAATTAACCAAAAATTAAAATAACAAGGAAACAAAGAAACTAACTGGGGTATTTTTTTTTTTTTTTGGAAATTTTTAACAAAAATTATAAAACAATTTAAAAACAAACTAAGAAAAGGTACCTACTTAAAGTATAACAGGAAAGGGCATGAAATAAAATTAAAAACAAAAAGTTTTTCTAACAGACTTTTAGAAAATCCAAATACTTTCTTGTATGCTGTCGTCCAGCTCTTCCGCTGGTAAAGCCTTCAATGTACGCAATGTTTCCATATAGAAGGTTAATTCGGAGGTCACTACACCATGCTGGGGACCACCATTATTAATAATGTTCAACTTGAGCAATTGTTCCCTTAGTTTGTCTTTGAAATTACGATGCACTATACCGTACATCGAGTGTATCTGTTGTTCCGGCAGTATGGGAGCAATGGCTTCATGCAACTTCACCAGGTGACGAGAAATAATGCGAAATGATTGTGATGGTATGGGGGGTCTAGCATCCCAAGCTTCTAATTGCATGGCAATACGTTCCATAACAATGGTATAGATTTTATTTTCAATTTCCTTGACATGACTTTGAAATTCACGCTCTATGCCATCGTAGCCAGTAACACTTGAGGCATCAAGTTGTTGAAAATGTTGTTTGATTTTAGGCAAAAGCCATAGAATCAGTTGTAGGGCCCGTGAAACTAAAGCCAAATTTGTGCTGGTTATGGTTTTCAAACCAGCCACACGTAAAGCTCCAGCACCTATGACCAACTGACAAGAACGTGAATTGAAATTGCGCAGCAAATCCACCACATTACGCGACAAATAGCCGGCCACTATAGGCAGCCGCTGGGCACAGCGGCAGTATTCACACAACATTTGCACCAGCAGTAGGGCAGAACCCACTAAGGTATAAGGCTTGTTTTCCACCAATAAAACAGGACTAGCCTGTGTAGAAGAATTGTTAAGATGTGTTGTCGTCACATGACCATTGATTGTTAGTCCCCCCGTGGTCTTATTGCTTGAGTCCTCCACCAAGAATTCCTTATTCTCAGCTATGCGATCTATTATCTTTTGAAATTCATTGGGTATGTCCACCTGACGCCATCGCTCGGTGTCCAAGAGTAAAGCCAACTTCTGCTTACGCTCGCTGTGAAAACGATTGGCAAAACGTGAGGCTTGTACTTTAAGGGCTACTTTTAAAGGCACATTTGTAACACCGCAGATGGCCTGGCAGCCTTCGGTAAAGTCATCCACTAAGGAGGTTAATTGGGCAATTTCTTCGGCTGTGGCAACAAACTTTTCCAGACTCTGCTGAGACACTAAATTGGCACAGCGTTCGTGACAGTAGTGACACACCGCTACCAGCAGTTCATTTAGTTTTTCATGCACCAAAGACTGATCGGCTGTCGTTAAAAAGGCCTCGGAATCTATAAGATTCACAGCCGCCTCCTGGCTTTCCGCACCATTGTTAAAGGAACGTCCGGCAGCGGCATCAGTAGTTTGGCGCATTATATGGGTCACCGCTTGTATACGTTGCAATACCATTAATAAAGCGACCGTGGCCTTGGCCAGTAACGATATCCATTCACTAAAAGACAAATTTTGTGCCTCCTCTCCTGCCCCAGTTAAACATATCTCTGCATCACTGCTGGCTATAAACTCTATAACCAATTGCTTGATAATGGTACGTATGGTTACGATAGCCTCATCTTTATAGGCCTCCACAAAACTGAAATTCTTTTTCCTCAACAAACCCATCACTATACACACCAACTTATCTTCCTCGGCACAAACACTGTCGGTTTCTTTTAAAACATCTTGCAAAGGTCTATTTAACTCGGTGGTGGTGTAGCGTTCAAACTCGGTCGTCAACATTTTATCGATAAGTTTTTCCATTTCCGTAAGTTGCATGGGCAAATGTTTAAAACAGTGCACACCTATCAGTTCCTGGGCCAAAATCTCCTGTGTAGTACCTATTAAGTCTAGAGCAGCTACATAATCTTGGGTGCCCAATAAGAGTTGCAGCATGGGTTGCGTTTTATGTACTGTGGCCATTAGACAAAGTTTATCTAAAACTTTTTCGAAATTTTGTCTGCGTTGGGCAAAACGCAAAACACGGAATGTATCGACCACCACAGTTTCATTTAAAGTGCGTAAGGCCGCTCTTAAAGCTTGTACCCTTTTGGCAGCCTCCTGCATTTCACTCATGATGGCATCTTGTGAAGTCATGGCATGAAAGAAGGCGGCTGATTTTTGCGAGACCTGTTGAGCTATTTTCACCTCAACTATATCCAAATAATGAGACAACTGTTCCTGCAATAAACGTCCCGTTTGACGTCTTTCCTCGCCGCCGGGATTTTGCATTAAACCAGGAAACACCTGAGCAAAAGTGGGAGCATGTTGCAAATTAAGGGAATCCTTGAGAAAGATTTCGGGAATGGAACTTAAGCTGGCCTCATGGGTAGGGGACGTAGGAACAGTGCCTTTCGGCACTGGGGTACTTGAAGACTCTTCCAATAGAGATTCCGCTTGTTGGGCATTTAGACGTTCGTGGCGTTTATAACGTTTACCAATTTTGCCAATATACTTTTCAAAATCATCGCAGGTGATTTCAGGCAAACGAGGCGATACGGGTATGTGTGAACGTTCCACAAAGTCAACACCCCATTTCTTGGTAAATAAATTGCTTTGTTTACCACGCGAGGGATCGTTTAGGACCGCCGGTAGATTCTGGGCGGCTGAAAATACCGACCATTCGGGTGGCATTTCGCGTGTTTGTTGGTTCACATGATACTTGGCTACGTGAGCATCGTAGTCGCGATCTGACACACCATCCAATGGCAGCGAGGGACAAACACCATTAAAACCATATCTGCAAACAAATGAGCCGCCTTCGCGGGTGCAGTGTCTTTCGCATAAATGCCTATTAAGCAAATAGAGTTTTTATTACATATTATTAAACTCCGTGCGATTAAAAAAGAAAACTTACTTTACAAATTCACTAACAGCTTTGAAATTTTCACGTGTACAATAGTAGCAAGTCTCCCAGCTATTGCGTGTACCTTTGGTATTGACCTGAACGCCTGTTCTATTGTTAAGTGTTGGCTCCTGTCCACCTAAATCACTATCCTTGTTATTCGTTTTTCCCTCACTAACAAATGTCGTCGATGGCCTTCTTATTAGGTTTTTCGTATCGTGTTCTGTAGCCATAACACATTATCGTACTTCCAAAGATTTATTTAATGAAAATCTTTTAGTAATTTTAATATTTTTCTTTCACTTTAACTCAAAGTAATGGTAGTGACCTTATGTCAATATTGGTTTAAGGTTGTTTGCCAAACGTCTCTCTTTTCCAGTGTTATTTTCTCACAAATACTTCGTTTTACATTCACTTTTATGGTAAAATACATAAACCGTATTTATTTGTTTTATTTAAATAGCAATAATAGGTTTTTTTATAAATTTATTCCACAAAATTTATATTTTTAATTGTATCAATTTTTTTGTACGAAAGAATTCCACAACAGCAAAAAAAAATAGTATTTTTTTCTTGTATGTGTCATTTGTCAGAATAAAATAGAGTTGCCAAGACCAGTATAAAAATAAGTAATAATAATTGCATATGGCAATGCTGTGGAAAAGTATTAATGAAATATTTCGTGAAAATAACAGAAAAATTGGTAAATTTGTGATTTATTTAATTAAAATTCCATAAAAAATTAATATAACCTAGGAAATAGATGCAAAAGATGTGTAATTTTTAATAAGTATTTATTTAGTTTGTCAGTAAGCTATAACGATGGTAAGTTAGTTAGTTAGTTAGTAGTTAGTTAGTTAGTTAGTTAGTTAGTAAGG